CTTTGGTGACATTCGGATCATCTCCCCACCTCCTTGTTTTAGATGAGCTGACAAACTACCTCGAGTACCTGTCGACAGAGGCACTTTCGAGAATGGAGGCGTTGAAGAAACACAACGGCACAGCGCACGTTGTGTCCCATGACCAGTCCTTTGTCTCCAAGGCAGCTGAGCAGGTTTACGCAGTAAAGCAAGGCCAGTTAGTGTACTTAGAGTCAGAGGGAGGTACATATGAAGGAGTATGTCAAATTGTGTCGGAAACACAGTCTCAAGTAACAACTGAATTGGGCTTGCATATTGTTTTGTGATGTAGACTGGATGAGGGCTCGCGGATTGCACTAAACATATATAATGTACAATAACCTACTACCAATTGAGGATGACGGAAGCCGTTTCTTCGAGCCGACTTACATCCGCCAGTGGCAGGGTTCATGCCATGAGGAGCGCACAAGTCTCATATTTTCCGTAAACGATATGACATGACCATAAGTACTGGAAAGCCGGGGTGCAGCTTCTGTGTATACAAGTATTACAACGTCTTCGCATTCTGGGGTGTATTCTCCTATATTATTGAGATTTCTCTCGCTCAGTTCTATGCTCTCGACTTGCATTCGGAGGATAGCTTCAGTCGAGACCTAGTACACGCACCGTGAAGCCGACCTTTGCGCTGGCACAAGAAATTCGCAATAGGCGCCAAGGGGATCTAGTGGCAATCAGCAGTGCCTTGCTTGGCCAGATCATGTGATCCCCGGAGTCCGGCGGAGTCCGCCAGACTCGCTGGACTCAACGGTCTCGATGTTCTCGCCGCCGCCTATGTCAGGCGCGTCTTTCTTCTCCCCAGGCTCCGTTTCGCTCGGCTTCGACGCACTCGGAGGCGCGTCGATCGTATTCGCCCGCTTCACCGGCCCAAGCAGCTTGCTCGTCAACCCGCCCCGCTTCTTCCCCGTGCCCGTGCCTGTACTCGACCCGCCTTCGAACGAGACGAGCAAGGTGCCTGGGGAACTCGCGACCGACTGCGGGTGTAAGTACGGCGACGACGGCGTGGTCCGCACGCCGGAAGGCGCAGATGCGGGCGAAAATCCAGGCTTGGGGTCCCTGCTGCGTCCCCGGCGGCGGGAGAGGAAGCGCTTGGCGATGTCGGGTGAGATGTGCGGGGCAACGCGCGCACGGCTCTCCGGGTCGAATTCGTCGTAGATCTCCTCCCCTATCATCTCCTCAACGATATCTTCCAGGGTGATGATACCGAGCGGCATCACATAAGGGTCCATGCTCGCGATGAACTGCGGGGCCGGACAGTGTCATCATTGCTCAGTGAGAGTATGAAAGCGGTACCTACGTCATCAGCTTGCTCCTTCGCCAGGACAGCGTCGTCCGGAAGGCGTTGCTCGCGACCGACGCTGAGCGCCTTCGCCAATCCGGTCTGGACGATGCTCTGCGGCTGCGTCTCCTTCTGGACGTCACCGAGCTCGACGTCGTCCGTCCTACCTTCGACGTTGTCCGCAGACGCTTTACGCTTCTTGCGGCCCTTGCGGCCCCACTTGCGCTTCTTCTTCACGCCCTCTAGTCCGTCGCCCCGGAGGGTTGCATCGTGGTCGCTCGTGCTCGTGGTCCCAGCCTCGTCACCGCTTTCATCGGAGCCCGACTCGGAGCTGGACGAGTCGCCCATGCCAACACGGTCCTTGAGACGCTGCGTCAGGCCCTTCTTCACCTCCTTTTGCACGCTCTTCGCCTTCTCCACGCTGAACCGGCTGACGATGGCCATGTGGCTCCGGCCCTCCTGGAACTTGTCGAGAATAGTGAGCAGCGGCTCGTTGAACGGCACGCAGGGGAGTGGGTTGAGCGGAATGTTCCTCAGAGGAATGGCATCCTTGGGGTCCAGAAGTAGCAATTGCTTCACGAGCAGCACGCCGACGAGCTTCTTGACCTTCTGCACGCGGTCTGGGAGGGGTGCATCCTCGGCAACAGGGACCTTGGGAGTTACAGTGCCGGAGATGCTCGGATGCCTGCTTACGGCAGGAGCGTTGGGGCTTACAACGGGTACCTCCACTTCTTCATAGATGGGCACCCGGGAGTGGCCGGTGTCACCAATGCGCTTCATGGTGTCGAAGTCTAGCTTGGCGTCAATGCTGAGCATGAAGACCTTGTCCAGCGGAGTCATGCTCTCCCTAACGACTTTCTCTTGAAGGTCAAGGGTCGCTCCGATGATGTTGACCGTGTCGGATTGTAGATCTCCACCGAGTTCACCGGTCGCGGAGTGCAAGGCGATAAGTTCCTTCAGTTCTATGAGCCGACGCAATTACGTCAATATCTGAGCTCGCCGTGACACGACAGACGGCTTACCAGCTCGGCGGTACATGATGCCGTGATGAGGTCCTAAGACTATCTCCATGAGCTTGGCAACGGGCCATGACACAATTCCCTGATAAATTGTAAGCATTGAATGGAGACTACAGTACTGACGGCACTCACGATGGCGAAAATGAGCATCCGAACGAACCATGCCATCTGCGCGCCGATAGCCAAGCCATATCTCGTGCAGAGTGACTGAGGAATGATCTCCGAGAAGCTGAAAATGCGTCGTCAACAAGATGTATCCAACAGCTTGCACGGAATGAAAGGTAATGAGACGGTAGCTAGGCCAAATCAGCACTGATACGCTGATAATTCCGTTGCATATCGTCCGGGGACCAGGTGCAAGAAAAAAATGACAGGACGCTGGGATGCAAGGATAAACCGAAGTCTTGAGAACCAACATTGTCGTTCAGTCATCCCAACCTTATCTTAACCTGTCTCCTACCCTGTCCCGCCTGTTCTGCTCACTAGACATGCTGGTCCCTACGCAGGGGGGCATAGGTCTGACGCATAGTCTCCCCTCGCGTCAACTGACGAGCCCGCGATACCAATAGACAACTACAGGTACTGCGGAATGTAGAAGGACGCGGACGAAAGTCTACGAGACCGGCGGGCCTGGCCTCCATACCCCTTGGGATCACTTTGTACATACTGTTCGCACTTGACTATAAGCTCGACTCGACGCGCACGGTAGCCAAGACCACGCCAAGCCCACTCCGGCGAAGATTGTCTTAAAGATAGCGCGGCGGTTTCGGCGAGCCGAAAGGTGCGCATGGAAACGAAGACAACACTCACATAACAATCAAGGCAGTACTGGCAACAACACTCTGAATGCCGCCACCTAGGACTGGCTCGGAGATCACGGGGAGAGCCTCGTTGACGACCATGTTGGCCAAGAGAAGGGTGATGAGGAGGAGATGGCCATTCTTACGAATGGGCAGGATCTTCTGGGCGTATCTTCTCTGCTTGCTAGAAGAGACAAGAGGTGAGCGGTCAAAAATGTGAGAGCCAAGAAGGTGACGTACGGTGTGCCACTGATGCTCAAGACGTGCAGCTGTGTCTCGTCCAAACTCATGTAGCCAAGCGTCAGACCAGCGAATAGCCCAGAGAGCAGGACAAGGATAGGGATAAGACAGGCGAAGACAATAAATTTAGTCTTGTTGTCCCTCTCCGCTTTGGGTTCCCTTTTTGCGAAGGAATGTGTGTAGTCTGCAGCATCCTGCCACGAGTAGCCAACGAGCTTGCTGAGGCCGTGGGTGGCGAGAGTGAACAACGAGTAGGTTAGACGTGGATACTTGTTCGCCACATGATTGACAGGGGTCGGGACCATATATGTCAAACAGAACAAGCTATTGTAATCTGCAACAAGTCAAGAGGACGAAGGAGGTGAGGACAGAGGACTGAGCAATGCGCTGAACGCCGACCCCGAGCTCAGGGCGGTTCATATAGCGCCCATGACAGAAGTCTTGGCATACGGCACCATCGGCATCGCGGCATCTCATGGCATGGCCGAGCGGCATACGATTTCGTCTGCATCTGACGAACTTCATTTCGTTCTGTATAGACAAGCAGCCGTACGCGTAAGGCCTGAGGTGAGTCCTTATGCTTCTTGCACCATCTTAGACAGTTCTGTGTATCACGCCTACTCGCTTTTCTTCAGGCCGGGCATGCAACAGCCACCTTGGCCTGGGATGAAGAGACCTCGACGTGGTGACGCTACGGTCCCGCATAACAGTCCTTTTTGCTGTGTCTTGGGTTGTGCCGAGTCTTCGCTTGCAGCCTACCGCTGATATCAAGTATTTATCATGGGCCAGAGTGCAGCGAATACAGAACTTCGTAGTTCAAGTGAAGCCAAGTCAAGCATCCCTTAGGGCGGAGAGTAGACCGTGGTGGCATATGCCAATTTCGGCAGAGCTCCGGACAGACCATAGTTCAGGTCTACTTCTGCGGGCTGCGGTAGCCTTCAAGTGCCCTGAACTTGTCGTCAGTGACCCAACTTTGTCAGCTCAAACTGTCCTTTGAGGCTTTGAGGTAAGTGCTGTGGCTCTTGGAGAGACTGTCAGCATGCCAGATCCTGCACCACACATGGAACCCCAGATATCAGACATAGTGCCAACTTTGTCACGGACGAGCAGGGGGGGGGAAGCTAACCATGCCTACAAACCTAGCAGTGCTCTTCCAGAACGATGAAACTACGTCACTGGCTTATCGGTGGGTACGTTCGGCGAATCGCTGGCTAGAACTTCGCAACGGGTTTGGGCTGTGCTAGCGGCAAAGCTGTGAGTGGTACTTGCAGGGAAAATCACGTTCAGCAGAGGCTCATTCGATCGTAGTCGCTCCATTTCTGTCCACGGCGTACGGTTTCGACTGTGCAGAGGACGCGCCGTCACTCAAGGTTCTATCCCGCAATGTCGCCATGCCAGCCGTGAGACGGAGAGTCTTCAGTATGTGACCTTCCGCGATCACCGCATTCCCAGCGCCTGTCGACCATCCGGACCCGGTGCGTCCGCTCCCGCATGCGCTATCTACAACGAGTGTCCATCGAGCTGCTGTGGTATCGAAGTCCGCCGGCATAATGAGCGATATTACGCGCACACCGCGAGATGGATGTGTCGCGCCCGTAAAAATACTGTCAACGCTCATGCCTCCTGCCGCGGGGGCAGTGGGCAGAGAACCAGTTACAACCGTCCTCACGTCACACGGAAATGATCTAATCTGACAGCTTCCTGCCTCCCGTTCCCTCAAATAGCCCCTTAGTGCGTCCGGATGAAGGGCCGGCACTCATTCTCCACAGGGCATTGACTGAGTCAGTCGCCCCCGGTTCGTTCGACTCTCTCAGCACCCTGGCGGGCCTTTTCTTTCTGGTCCTTTCTTCGTTGTTGTATCCTATTGTCACTCATTTCGCCCACTCGTTTGTTAAGAGATGGAGGCATGGACAGTATTCAGGTATATCCGGAGGGTGGTCTTCAGTGTGTATTCACCACCTCTTTTCGTTGGTGCTGAGATACTGATGTATATACTTCGGTAGTCTTCCTAGCCATCCTTGGGTTGGTCTGGGCAGGTCTTTTGTCCTTTTATCTATCTAAAGAGTGGAGCCATGCTACTGTCACGCAACGTGAGTGTTCGTTCTTCTGTGCAATCGTCGCCCCCCTGAAACCAGCATAGGTGCTATTATCCTCGCCATGATCGGTGTCAATTTCTTCTCTTCTCTTTTGCTCTATCTCATGTAAGTGCTTCGCAAGCGACCTCCATGTTCGATTATATAAAATCGTATAGGGCCGTTGTTGTATTCAAGATGTGGAAGGAGCTTCTTCGAGTGTTGTCTCTGCTTGGGATGCACGCCAGTAAGTCCTATGTTGTATCGGCGCTAAAAGAAGCTTATCCTCGTGTGCTACAGCCCCTGCTGTACTTTATACATTCTACGGCTCTGGCTACTCATGTGCACCATTTGGTACGCAACAATACACAGAAGAGTAGTCCGACATCTGTTCACACCTACACAACGCTCGCAGATACCCGAACGACGTGCAACCTCGTCCACATTGTGATATTCTGTGTTGCGTGGGCTATCTGTGGAATTCGTGAGTTCCGAACCGATCCTGATTTAGCGCTTGCTAACGAGGAACACAAGTTGTTATATATACGATATATCTCTGCATAATGTCGCGCATTCCTCGTCCATTCCCTCTCGTTACTCCCAATGAGCTTATCAGCAGCTCAACGCTCAGCCGCATTCCCAGTGGCTCGCCTTCCATGTCTTCCGTCACCTCCGCGACGGGCCTGCTCAGGCAGCCTCAGATCCGGCCGTACAGTCCTCCGACTGGCCGTCCCCCGAGCCGCTCTCCCTCGGTCCACTCCCAGGCTTCCGCTACTGCGCGGACCATGCCCAAGAGATTGTTCGTCGCTAACGCCGATGCTGCGCCGGTCCCAGAGGACACCTTCATCCGAGCACACCGAGAACAACAGGTGCGCCGTGGAGGCTCTTACGGCGCCATGGGAAGCCCAGCCCACCCTCGTCCCACGGACCTAATCTCCTTCTCTCCGGCGCCGTCGGTGCATTCCCGACATGGCTCCTTGAGTACCCCTCGTCGCATTGCAACATCACCCTCGAGCGCAGGGACCTTCGGACGGCGCCCGTCCGCTGCTGCGTCGGTGACGCCCCGACAGATGGAAGAAGGCAACGCGCGCGCTCCGCGAGGGCCGCTTCTGCTCGGCGCGAATCCATTCATGGATTCGCCCTCGCGCAACGCCAGCCCCGAGTCTTTCCATTCTGGCTTCAGCATGAGCAGCGCACCCACGCACTCCAGCTCCGGAAGCTCGTATACGCCGTTTAGCCGGACGTACGGCAGTTACCTCTCGCCGTACGCTTCCTACTCTTCCAATGGAAGCCTCGTTGGTGTCCCTTCTCAACTCCAGCCGGGCGCAGAACCTTACCCCGCATTCACCAATCCGTTCATGCCTCCGATGAGGGATTCGAAGGCCTCGAACGTCAGTTACCCAGGTACTCCTCTAGGGACGCCCGCTGCCTTAACTCCAAGCAACGCCTCGGTGCACTCCTTGGTGCCTAGCGTCCATCTCCTCGACACACACCCCAGCACGCAACCCCAGTACAACCCGCAGTTTGGCATCGTCCCAGCCAACTCGCTCAGCGCCCCGCCTACGGCGCACATACGAGCTCCGAGCGACGACCTGCTCTGGCGCCCCTACAGCGCGGGCGCGCGCATGAGCCGCAGTCCGAACGATCCGCTGTACGAGGACGTCAAGCTCCCGAACCCGTACGGCGGGGAAATCAGACGATTTGGCAGCGTCCCGCACGTGCGGAGTGGGAGCTACTCTGACGGGTACGGGGCTGCTGGTTATGGGTCGTTTAGCGTTCGGGGCGCTCCTTATGTAGGGCAGGGTCAGGGAATTCCCATTCGCGGGGAAGGGATCGCCAGGGGCGCCGTTGTGGCTCAGGTCCCGAGTTGGCGAGAGATGGTCATGCGGGCCGCTAGTGGCTGAGGGATGAGAGAGCAGAAATTATGGAAGGTCGAGCTACTGGACGTGCGGCAGATGGGGTTGGTAGAACGGATGGAAGCGTGGGTCTGGGTTCTGTACTCGACCCATAGCCTGGACTTGACTGCACGTTATTGGACAGTCCGGACACAAAGGATCATTAAACACGGATGGTACGTCCTGTTAGACATGTTCGGGTGATTCATGTACCCCTGTCTTAGATTTCAACAGGTCGGAGGTCAATCTATCGACGCGTCACTCCCCATCTCTGCTATATATATGTAGATCTCCGGTGTCTGCATGATCAGACGGCCCTCGCGGGCGCTACATAACGATGAGACTGGTACATGTACATATGTATTCTGTTATTGAATCGGGCCGGGCTACCCGGTTAGACTATGTACAGCGCCGACTGATCGCCACGCGGCCAAAGGCGGTGCGCCTCTCTACTGACCTTACTCAAGTGCATACAGCCTCCTCGGCCTCAGATCAACATATCAACGGCCGTAAATCCGTCCACCTGGTAGTATCTTGGCACATTGCTTAAGCGTCGAGCCCTCATTTTCACTATTGATGCTCTGATCATGTTGCTAGGCATGACGTGCACTCTTAAACAGAGCCCTTCGGAGGGAGGACTACCTTCGATCCTCCGAGTCCACCACGACCGCTGACGACCACGACGCGGGCAGGCCGTGCCGCCGTTCTTTTTTCTTATTTCCCTCGTTATTGGCCCTGGTTGGCTCCTTGCTGCTTCTACTACCCCAGGCGGGCTACACTATCAATTTCGAAGACGAGCATCTGCTGAAAAGATCGACGTGTCGAAGACAAGCCACCTATTGCTTCCGGGCCGCGTGTCTCCCAACGGGTGCATCCAAATCTCGTCGAAAGAATGCGCGCTTTAGCTGTCGGTCTCCTACTTGCGGCCGTGCAATTGGCGTCCGCGGCGCCCACTCCCATCCCCACGCCAGAGCCCTTCTCCGGGATGAACGCTGGGACAGGCGATTCGACCCCGATCCCTGTCTCGGAAGAGGACATCACGTCGCAACTCGTGCGTCCGGCGCTCTTCGCCCGCGCGGTATATTGCTCGTCGCCCGTCGTGGAAACCTGGTCTTGCGGGGAGCCATGCGACGCGCTGGGCTCCAATGTCAAGGTCCTCGTCGCAGGTGGAGACGACGAGAAGATACCCAACTTCTTCGTTGCGTACGATCAGGACAAGGACACGGTGGTAGTCGCTCATCAGGGGACTGAGCCGAAGAATTTCTTGTCCGACCTGAACGATCTTGAAATCGTCCAGGTGGGCGCGAACACGACCCTCTTGCCCGGCGCAGGTGGTACGTACACATGGAGCGGCCTGTTCTATCTACCTTCCCTCACGCTGTCTTCCGTAATGTGCTGATCGCCGGTTCTCTTGCGCATATTGCACAGATGATGTGAAGCTGCATGACGGATTCGCGGCCACGCAGGGGAGGACCGCCGACCTCGTCCTCTCCACCGTGCAGTCTGCACTGGACTCCACGGGGTCGAAGCAGTTGCAGGTGATCGGGCATAGTCTCGGTGCAGCAATTGCGAGCATCGACGGGGTGATGCTGAAGATGAAGCTCGATCCGAGTATCGCCATCACCACCACGGTTTTCGGCTTGCCGCGAGTCGGAAACCAAGCGTGGGCAGATCTTGTGGATTCCACGGTGGGTACTCATGTGACGTGAATTCCGCGGCGCATGGCTTGCTGATTTTCGCGTCCACGCTCCCAGCTCGGCTCTTCCTTCACTCACGTCACGAACCAAAATGATCCTGTCCCCCGTGTCCCTCCACAGTTCTTGGGATTCCAACACCCGAGCAACGAGGTTCATATCTCAGCAGTGGACCCGACCGGCAACAATGCCACTGCGACTTTCTGTCCGGGTCAGGAGAATGATCAATGTGCGGATAGTAACAATATCTTGGATGCGAGCGTCACGAACCATAGGGGACCATACTTCGCGAACATATCGATGGGCAATCGGTTCTGCCCGCTTTGATATGTTCTGGATGATAAGGGGGCTCCGAAGTCTTCATGTCGACATGTCTAGCCTAGCACAAGGTGTTTTGTTCGATGACTTCCCTGGATGAGTCGTTTGGTACCGGTACCAGTCGCGGGATCAATATTTCAATAGGCAGAAGCATGCGAACCTGGTGGTCGAGTCACTGCTTATGCAGTTCGTCGGTGTGTGATGCCCGGCTGGATCGACTGCCGTTAGCTTGGGGCTACTGTCTCCTCTTTCGACAACGATAGTTACGAGCTCCCATAGTGCAGCGCGCCGGAGGACCCACCTGACAAACGGAATGTTATCGTATCGTATGATGCCACATGCATCATGCATACGTCCCTCAACAGCTTGTCAGAATGTAAGACGGTTGCTGAGTTCTTTTACGGTGCCATGAGGCGTTGTATTACAACATGTCCATGTGTCCCTCAGCTCTATTTCCCAGGTTGTTGATGTGGATCGTCTACATTGAGCCTTCCCGAAGCCAGTTTACTTGCCAATATTGGGAATAGGTGACGCAGTGAAGTTCGCATGCTTCAAGGGTTGCCTGAAACGGACGAATCGGTGATGGCCGGCGTTGCTGCCGACCGAAAGTAAGAGCGCATGGTGTCGACTCTCGCCGAGTTCGACGATCTACCCTACGGTCGACTGCGGCTTGCATCTCTTCCGGATCGCTCTCACGATGATAGCGGTTCACGCGCGAAGTTCAATAGACGGTGCGGCAGCCATCTTCCCAGCCAGTACTGATACCATCTTCCGATACGCTCCACAGACTTCGACGCTGCATAGAGTTCGATAGAGATGACATTGATGATGCTTCTCTACGTCCGCGCTCGAAAGTTCCGTGATCGAGACTACGAGTTTACATCCCCGTGGTCGGGCTTCTTCGATGGCACGTACGCGCGATAAGAGGGCCTCCCCCTGGGTCCCGTGCTAGGCCCACGCGAGGCTCCGTCAGAGATCCACTCGTGAGTTGTGTTTGTTTTTATACCTCTTATCCGGTTCATACATATGCTCACTTCTATCTTGTCCAATTGGAAGCGCAGATCTTCTAACTTCTAACAGGCAGATGACTGGCCGCAAACCTACTTTCTCAATGCCGCATGCAGCAGCTCTCACAGTGCGTTGCTGATGAGAAAGAGGTACCAATAACCGGCACTCGTCCATACTGTGCTGGAAGCATGTCCTCCTCAACGGGGTCACCTTGCCCAACAGGAAACACCGACAGATGTCCCGATAGCTTTCCGGCAAATCTCACACGAGAATCAACGGCGCCGCGTGGGGAACGCCTGCTCTGTGGTTCTCTGCTCGCCTGCTTCCATGCGTTCGTTGCACTGTCCCCGGACCGCCTGACCAGTATCGAAGGTGCACTGACATCGCCTTGGCGCGCTACATGGCTATAAAAGTGGATGTCCTTCAGTATGACTTCCTTACGAGCATACTAGCTCTCGGTCGTCCTTGGACTCTCGGTCTCCTGTCGCCATGTTCTCCAAGGCCCTCGTTGTGATCTGCTTCGCCGCAGTTGCCCTCGGCAAGCCCGTCGCCCGCAGCTTGCAGGTGCACGAGACCCGCGAGCAGGTCCCCGCCGCATTCTCGTTGGCCGGTCCTGCTTCTCCGGACACCATGCTGAATCTGCGCATCGCGCTCGTTTCGAGCGACATGGCGGGTCTGGAGAAGGCGCTGTACGACGTCAGTACTCCCGGCAGCGCACTCTACGGACAGCACCTTAGCAAGGAAGAGGTACAGTTCTACCGTCCGCAGTAACGCTCCGACATTGTCTGACAACCGGATTTACAGGTGGAGCAGTTCGTCGCCCCAACATCGGAGACTGTAGACGCGGTCACCTCTTGGCTGAAGGAGAACGACGTCGAAGCCGCGAAGGCTTCTCCAGCCGGCGACTGGTTGAGCATCTCGATCCCAGTCAGCAAGGCCAACGAGCTCTTCGACGCTAACTTCTCGGTCTTCACGCACTCCAAGACTGGCACGCAGTCGATCCGCACGCTCACGTACTCCATCCCCACTGATCTCAAGAACAAGCTCGATTTTGTACACCCCACCACCGTGTGAGTAGCGATACCAATTACTGTAGCCACCGAATGCGACGTCATCATGAATGACTGACACGATGCCTTGCCTGATTTCTAGCTTTGCGCAGCCATTCTCTGGCCCTCAATTCCACACCCCGATTCTGACCCCTGCAGTTAACGTAACGTCAGATGCCGTTCCCTCATCGTGCGGTTCCACTATTACTCCGGCCTGCTTGCAAGCGCTCTACGGCATCCCAACCACGAGCAACGCGATCTCATCCAATGTTTTGGGAGTCAGCGGCTTCATCGACCAATTCGCCCAGAAGGCTGACCTTAAGGTGCGGATTACTCTGCTTTCGGAAGACCTGTATCAGTACTCATGCACATGTTCCTCAGAGCTTCCTCTCTCGCCTACGTACTGACCTCCCGTCGACAACCACATTCACGCTCCAGACCCTCGATGGCGGTGAAAACCCACAAAGCGCAAGCGACGCCGGTATCGAAGCTGTGAGTCGGGCGTACTGAAATCGATGTTCTGCCAATCGCTGATCCTCGTTGGGCCATGTATAGAACCTTGATATCCAATACACCGTCGGCGTCGCATCAAAGGTCCCAGTCAACTTCATCTCTGTCGGCGACAACAACCAGGATGGCATCAATGGTTTCCTCGACATCATCCAATTCCTCCTCAACGAGTCTACCCCCCCTACCGTTCTCACGACCAGCTACGGCTTCAACGAGCCCGACCTGACATCTAGCGTCGCAAAGTAAAGCATATATGCTTCTCGATCCCTCCTTCAGTTAGCTCACAGGCTCCCCTAGCAACCTCTGCAATGCTTACATGCAGCTCGGAGCTCGCGGCACGTCCATCCTCTTCGCGTCTGGTGATGGGGGTGTCTCCGGCTCGCAGAGCCAAAGCTGCACCACGTTCATACCGACCTTCCCCTCGGGATGCCCCTTGTGAGTAAACCCATGAGTGCAAAGGAGTCGGAAGATGCTCACACCGTATCCGGGTAGCTTGACTTCCGTTGGCGCCACGACCGGCATCACCGAGACTGCGGCGGACTTTTCCTCTGGTGGCTTCTCCGCCATCTTCTCGCAGCCGTCTTACCAATCCTCCGCCGTCTCGACCTACCTCACCGCACTCGGCAGCACCAACTCCGGCAAGTTCACCAAGACCGGCCGCGCGTTCCCCGACGTCTCCGCGCAGGGCGAGAACGTCGAGATCGCGGACGGCGGCGAGTTCGGGACCGTCGACGGCACGTCGTGCTCCAGCCCGATCTTCGCTAGCGTCATCGCTCTCCTGAACGACAACCGTGCCGCCGCTGGCAAGGCCCCGCTCGGCTTCCTCAACCCCTTCCTCTACTCCGCCGCCGGGACGGCGGCGTTGAACGACGTCACCACCGGAAGCAACCCAGGTTGCAACACCAATGGCTTCCCCGCCAAGGCTGGCTGGGACCCGGTGAGTCCTTCACAGAGTGGTGTAAACCAACGGAATGGATGACTGATCGTATGGCTGCCGCGCAGGTCACTGGTCTCGGTACCCCGAACTTCGCTAAGCTCCTATCGGCGACTGCCAATTTGTGAGCACGTATTAGGGACACGGATTCTCAGGGCTGTGGGACATCGGTATAGCAACGTGTAAACTCCTGTATCTGTAGCCGCACCACGTCACGAATATCACGATGAGAGATGTAGCTGTGCTTAGGTTTGCGGCGGAGCATGGTGCATAGCGACCGTTTGGTGCAGATGTGTGACGGACTCGCCCGCTCATGTCCGTCTCGCTTGATGCGCTGCGATGTCAATGACGTTCAACGTCCTGAGAATGTCCGATATTCGGATAGCTTAGACTCGAAGGGTCAGAACGGCTCACCCAAGCTTGCAAGCATACCCCATAAGAACTCCGTGTCAGTTCGCGAACAGATACATGACGTCAGATCGCATCCTAGCCGACGCCACGAGTACAAGTCGGTCTGTGCTGAGTCTATGTAGCGCAGCTTACGTTGCATACCAGCCGTCAATGGCGGAAACGGAAACGTGCTTCTGGAGGTGGAACATCTGAGGGCAAAGAACTGCCTGCTGTATGTTGTGGGTAAGTAAAGCTGGCGCTAGATGATGCAGACCCTTTGACGATGGTTGCAGGCTAACGAGGTTTGGGAGTGGACGAACTTCGCTGTGCATTAGCGTGCCATACGTATGGTACCTTGACTCTGTTCCAAAGCTAGCCTGGTTTGTGACTACGTACGGTCACCTGTCTTTTGGCGTAACGGCTTTGGCGGGCGCGTCCAGGCCAAGTTACAGAAACGTCGACCTTGAGGCGAAGCAGGACCACTAAAGACATGCTATCAGACTATGTACACATCGAATAGAAAGATGCGTTACCATCTTCCGTATAGTCCGAGGACACTGGTGCAGACCATGCCACCGTAGTGTTCCTTGTTGAGGCGTATTACAGTGCTTTGCAAAAAAGATTGCAGTGCGAAGCGCGCAAATCCGGTTTGCCCCTGTTTGGTCCCCCGTCGGCTACGGCGAGGATTTCTGTTTCGGGAACCGGGCGCTCACAAGGACTCCGTCCGTCAAAGCCGTGCTTGAGTCTGTGCCCGCTTTCCTACTGCCAAAATAAACGAAGATGTTCTCTGCCTCCGCAATATAACTTTCTAAATATATTCGGTAGGTTTGTAGCTGAAAAATCGACCATGCTGCAAAGAGGCTCCCGGCATTGCGGGCGTTTCTCCGGGTGAGCAAACAGAGGCAAACAGGATTTTGCGCGCTTCGCACTGCAATCTTTTTTGCGAAGCACTGTAGGGAAGGAGAAGGAAAACCCGTTTCTGCAAGGCCCGGATTCCGTTAACTGCACCACCCGGTGCGCCGGCGGGCCGCCACTAGATGCAGCCGGGACGTTCGGACATGTCCCGGATGCTCAAATATTGGGGACCGACGTAATGCCTAAGGTCTACCGAGCATTACAGAGCCCACTCACCCTCTTCGACGCAGCGACCACCCACCCATCAGACCGGGAACGGCCCCTAGAACATGCCGCACGAGCAGGAGCACCACAGCGAGCAGCACGCCCCACGCGCGCCCGACGCGCCCAAGCCCAAGAGGCACCCCATCCTGATCATCGTAATGGTACGTTGTCCCATCGCTCGCCCCACAACGTCGCGTTCACCCTCGCGCGCACAGGGCGTAGCGGGCACGGGCAAGACCACGCTCGCAAACGCCATCCAAGCGCGCCTCGGCCTGCCCTACATCGAGGGCGACGCCCTCCACCCCGCCGCGAACATCGCGAAGATGTCCTCGGGCGTCCCGCTCACCGACGCCGACCGCGAGCCGTGGCTCGACCTCATCCGCACCACCGCCGAGCACATGGTCGCCGAGCAGCAGGCGGACCCGTCGTACACCGGCCGCCCGGGCGTGCTCGCGACGTGCTCGGCGCTGCGCGGGTACTACCGCGACATCCTCCGCGGGACGCGTGCGCCGCCTGGCTTGCAGCTCCCTGAGCACGTCGCGCCTGCGGAGCCGCACCGTCTGCCTGCGTACTTTGTGTACATCAAGGGCGAGCCAGAGGTCATTCGGGAGAGGATATCGAAGAGGGAGGGGCACTATATGAAGCCGGGGATGCTGGATAGCCAGCTGCAGACGCTGGAGAGTCCCGAAGGCGAGGAAGGCGTCGTGGTGGTACCGCTGGATGCGTCGACGGAAGAGCAGACGGACATTGCTATCAGGGAGCTGAACAAATTACTGCCCGAACCTCTCGAGCGGGCAGTTGGGAATTAGATGCTTGTGGGCTGTGTAGAGAACCGACAGAGAATACATGAATAGACTGTACTTGTACATCTCACACAACCGCCTAGTTGGCCCATGCCATCCACATGGATTTGTTAATCCTAGTACCCTGCTAGGACGTGGCTTTGCTTGTTTTTGGGATGAGGGCGAGCACACGTCGACGTTTTCTCAGAGCACTCGAAGATTTCCCAGCACCAATCAGAAATAGTTCCTCCACGTCTGTACTACATACATACACGAAGTTTTGTACGCAGGAATAGTCGCGACGCAACGAACTGCACTCCTAGCCACCTCGCTCTTACTCGAGCGCTTCACCACCTCAGAAGCAAGCCACTCTGCGACCCTAAGGGGAGAGCGACATACTCCAAGGAGGGAGACTGCATCAAGCACGAGTCTGGAGACGTCGAAAGAAACAAGGACGCAACGATAGCAGGAATTTGAGGGGACGGGAGTAACACTAACAGTGGTAGAAGGGATTTTGTCTCTTGGTGAGGAAAAGGAAGAGACCATAGCAGAAGGAGAGGAGACGTATTGGGATAATCTTGACAATAAATAGAGGAGGGAGACGCATACAAGAGACGACGATTGACCCTAGACGCATATCATAGAACGAAGACCATACTGTCCACGGGGATGATCAGAACACGCTCACCGACGAGACAGAACCCACAGATGCACTGATCGCACCCGAGAGGTCCCATCCGCTCAGCTCCAACTCGAGGGCCGAGGGGAAATCGTCCGGGGGCGCGCTCATTGGACCCGTTTCCAGAGGCGTTGCGTCATGGGGGACCACAGGAAGCATGGCCAAAAGTCTCTGCATCTCGACCTCGCTCTCCCAGTCAATCTCCGGAAGTGAGGATGGGGGCTGGGTCATCGGCGCGGCGGAGGGTGCCGGGGCCAATTTGATTTCGGAGATCGACTGGGATCTTGACCTGGAGGGCGTAATGACAGCAGGCAGAGTAGTCTGCGGCGACACGGGAGAAGGCGCAAGGATCTCGCGGAAGAGATCGTCCATGGCGACTTCGTCCACAGCCGAGGGGGCGCCCTCACCGATCTGGATGGTCGGCGGATATGATGGTGTGGGGATGTTGAGCTCCAGCTGGAGGCGATTCGACGAATATTCAGATCCACCCGCTGCAGGGACACTGATGATAAACGAGGGGCATCAGTGGTCGCCACCCGTGCTAGGTGGCGAGTGGAATCGAAGTCGTCAGCATCGAAGAGAGTGCTGGAGTCGGAAGAGAGGTTTGATGGTGCGGGAGAGATAGGGAATAGAGGATTTGAGGGCACAAATACGGGGAAAGTAGTTGTGGGAGGGTGACCACTCGTGACTGGTGCGGAGGGCGTCGAAGAAGAGGGTGCAGAGGAGGTTGATGGTGAGGGGACGGAGGGGACGTTGAGGGGAAGGCCAGAGGCAGCTAGCGCCTTCATGACTGCTTCCCACCCGGTCTCCAGCGTCTTAACCCTCTGTCGGAGCTCCTCGTTCTCCCGTTCTCGAGCCCTGTCCTTCTCGCGCTCTTCGTCTTTCTGTTCGTGGGGATGTGATAGTTCGGTGAGACCCATGCCGGCGCGGAGTTGCCTGTTCTCCTCCTCGAGCTCCTGGACGCGGCGCTCGAGGTACGTGAACTGCGCCTTTCGGCGGTCGCGGGAGTTCTGGGCAGCGATGCGATTGCGGTGTGCGCGTGCTTCTCTACGCTCCTCTGGAGTGATTTCGGAGCGGGAACGCTTGCGCGGGGGACCTGCTAAGTCCGACGTGAATGAGTCGGGGGAGTGTGCGTCGTCTGTAGGCGATGGTGAAAGGGCAAGGTCCATGTCAGCGGGGCGTTTCATGGCTGGGTCGTGGTAGGTGGAAATTTGAGGGGAGTACGTGTCAGAACAGAAAGAGGAAGAGACAGGTCTTGTAGGAGTTCAGACTGCTCGAAGGAGATGTGAGAGTACGTGGTGGTCGTTGAGAAAGCTGTGTGGACACGTACTGAACACGTATACACCTTCTCCGCTGTTGTCGGCTATTTACCACCTTTCCTCTTTCGGCCACATCTCGTCCCACGTGAATCCCTCCGCAGCATTGCCTCCGTCCTGAACGTTCAACGTTCGGGTTCATCGCTGTCTCGACAATTCCACTGCGCCGCAGTATGGGCAAGAAGAACAAGGAACAGGAGCCTGCTGCGAAGCTGAACAGTGTCACGAATAGAGACATCATCCAACGAATCAACTTCCTCTACCAGGCCAGCACCTATCTCAGCACTATCTCCCAGCCGCCCGACGGCACTGTCCAGTTGCAGCGTAATGACAGCACGCACGGGAAGCGGAAGAAAAATACGATAAGACATCCGAAGAGCACAGCAGAACTGTCGAGATGCTATGTGGGCTCTATGCGCATCGTCGGCCAGAAGGCTATCGTCCGAATGTGAGCAACTCCGCCAGTCCTTCCGGACGCCACTCATCTTACTCTCATCATAGGGATCCGTCATTGAAGCGGACTCTCTGCAAGCAGTGTGACACTGTGCTGCTTCCAGGCGCGACTGCGTCCGTCCGTGTCAAGCGTATGTTTTATCCTGCTGATCGCGGTCTTCAAAACTGATACTCCCTACCAGCATCGGGCAGCCATGGACAGGTCGTCACATACACCTGCCTCTCTTGCAGTACCAGCCGTCGCATACCTGCGCCCCCGGTCCTGGACCTGGACGCCTCAACGGCCGAGCCGTTCGCCCCATCTACCCCGGTGGACCGCGCACCTTCGTCCTCGGCTCCTGGTCCTCTTGCCGAGGCACTGTCAGACATCATGGACGTTTATGCTCCCTCACAAGAAGCATCAGTCAGGAAAAGAGGGAGGCCGCGCAACCATCGTCGGAGACCTGTCCCCCGCATCCCACCGCTCTTCGAGAGGCCAGGTCACGTGGTATTCCGAGGAAATGAGGTGCTCCCCTCCCAACATATTAATGGATCCATGGTAGAATAGCGTAGGGCCTTCCGTGCGGTGATGTATATTTCGTTTTGCTCCAAGCAAAGAGTACTAGTGGAGCGTCCACGCGCATCAACCGGGCTCCGCCCTCAACGGGTCCCCACGTGCACAGTACAAAATGAGCCAGCCAAAAACCCACTGCCATCTCCAACACACATTCCTCCAACAATATACCTGTTCGGATCCTAAGGCTGCAGAGGATTCTTGTGCCACTTGTGTCCAGGGGACTTGCCATCGAGCGAGGCTCATGAAGCATAGCAAACTCGTGTACAGCGTTGCGGGGTATCACACTCCTCTACACGTCGGCTAGTATCCTCACCAGAATCTCCTTCACGCTCTTCCTCTCCCACCCCAGCTTCGCCCCTTTCCCAACATCTGATCCGGCAGCCCCCATCCCGGGAGGCACAGCCGGGAACATGACGCTCCCAAGTACTTCGTCGTCGGGCCCGTCACGTACGCGTAGCCGATGCGAGACCACCCTCGGGAATATCCTCGCCACATCCTCCTCCGACACATCCCATATCTCCGGCCACGACCGCTTCATCGCCTCTGTCTGTGCGTCCGCAGGCGTGAGCTCGGGCATAACCTGCGCGAGGAGCGCGTCGTACATCCCCAGCGGGCCCGAGCCCTCCATGTCCTCGGCCTCAACGCGGAGCCTCACGCCCCCTATGCTGTACTCCTCTGAGCCTTTGCCCTTCCCGGCAACGCTCTCCGCGCTCCTCCATGCTGCAGACGCGCTCCGCCAGCTCCCTGCCGTGTCGTGGTCATGACTATGGCCACGTGGATGGCCCCCGATCCGCGCCTCGTGCTCGACGAGCGCGGCCCCAATCGTGTCCCCGTTGAGAACCCGGAACGCACGCGCGAGCGCCTCCGCGTCTGCGTGAGCGCGCATCGTCAGCAGCGTGCCATCGAGCGCGGGATGGTGCCGCGTCGCGGCGAAGAGGTCGAGGAGGTACTGCTCGAGCGACGGATGAAGCGCCGCGTATGGGAAAGGCTCAGGCGCGGTAGGGTGCACAGAAGGGTACTCGTGTGTCGCATTCACGGAAGGATAGAATATTGGGGCAGCTGTCGGATACGGCCGGGCTAGCATACGCAAGTGGGCAAGTTCAGGCGCTTGGAGGACTGGCGGAGCTTGAGGGGTCGGCGCGGGTAGCGGTGCAGGCCGTCGTGCGGGAGAAGGGTGCACTGGGGTTGGTGAGGCGAAATAAGGATGGGCGGTGTGTGGGAGGGTTGAAGGCGATGGGATCGGCGTGCCGCGAGGGGTCGGAGTGTGAGCAGCCCTGTAGGCAAGGTAGCTTTGCCGTACGGACGGTGGCAACGAGACATCCGCGCTCATAGAGAATTTGTCGACCTGTGAGAGATGGGACGCATGAATATTTACGGGAGCGTTGTGGATAGAACGAAATGTCATTACCAGACCACCCAAGATCGGAGGCCGCTCGTGGGGATCCCACTTGCAAACGTAGACCAACAAGAACCCGTCGGGCAAGTTCCATGTGCCTTCCTCCACGTCGGCATCTTCTCCTGAGAGATCCGTGTCGCTATTCTCCAACCTGCCTAAGACTACCCTCCTTTCTGCGAGCACCTGCATTAGCGCACGCTGCGACGGCGCGGACGCGTGCTCTAGACCGGACACGACCACCGCGCGGGGGAGAGTCGAGACTGTGCTGCCAGAGCCTCCCGCCCGTCCGCTGTCTGGGATGCTCTTCTGCGCTCGCAGGCTCTCTACTGTTACGCTTGTAGGGAGGGACTCGTCGGCCTCTGCGACATCTTGGGCACCAAGAGGTGAGAAAAGAGAGGAAAGCGGAAGTGGGTCTGTTCTGTGCCGGTGTGCTCCAGGACGCCCTTTCGACACGGTCGATCGCACGGTTGACCCCGGAGTGCGATTCGCGAGCAACGGTCGACGGGAAGAGGCGAGTGATGACGCGTCGAAATACTTGTCATCTTCCTCTCCATCTGTGCTCACGGTGGGTAGTGATGCGGACCGTTGAGGCATATGGCTCTTGCTTCGTGATGTTTTCGTTGCACCCGCGAGCGGGATAGGGCCTGAGCGCGGCGTGCCATCCCCGCCGCTGGGACGCAAGCGAAGTGCGCTGTTGCTACGATGCGAGGACATTGAGGGTACGGGAGCACGACGGAAGAAAATCGACCGGAGAAATGCGTCGGGATGATCGGGCCTGCTGAAGGAGGAAGGGGCCTGTTTTGGCGGGGGACGCTGACGACTTCCCGACGGCTGGAACGATTTCGCAGCTATTTTCTGCTTGTGCGTGGGGATTCCTAGAATATGTTGCAGCGTCTACCAAAGGAGAATGAGCACGTCGCTTCATCTGGCATGTTGGGCTCGCTGAGGGATAGGGCATAATGTGACGGGAACATTGTCAAACATGGATTTCTGCACCGGGGAGATCTGACTGCGAGGGTCGGACAAGTAACTGGAGAGAGGAGACCCTGGTCACATAAGACGCAGTCATCGCGTCAAGCCCTACATCTTTCTGAATGGGTATCCAAAGGTTGTTGACATGTAGGAAGACAGCATACCTTCTGAGCCGCTAGAAAGCGAGGGGCGATTTGTTGCCTCAGACGGGAGCGGTTTCGAGGCTCGTGTGCGGGCAGTTTCAAGAGTATGGGTGACGGCGTGCAGACACGTATCTTTCGGGCCACCCGCGCTATCTTGCAAGCGACTCGAAACGAGCGTTGCCGCAAAAACCTGTTCGAGGTCACGGCTTCGGGTCTAAACAGGTTTGCTCGGCCCTAAGCCCGTCGAGGCTGCTCCCACCTGTAGCAGCAACTCAGCCCTCCATTCAAACATGGTGGAGAAGCTTCCTCCTAGCGTACTAGGTCGATTTCCGCGGAAAGGAACAACCGCGACCAAGACATGGATTCTGCGCGCAGGTATAAGGAACGCCTCCAGGCGAGCAGTGCACAGAAGGCCTATTTTACTTCGCCGTCACGGTCGCCATCATGAGTCTAAATCAGGTTTCTTAGCTGGAAGTCCGCCAAGACTGAGTCCACTGTGGCGGAGACTTGATCCTGGCGCTCTTCAGACCCCGGTATACATCTACTGGACCTCTTTGTGCACTTTTGTGGATGTGGCAGGTCCCGGGATGGCATCGACTCGATAAGGTGAAGAGCGTGAGGGAAGAGGAAGTTCCCATCTTCAGCTCCCAGCATAACGGACAACCGCGACCGCGTCAGACGCGAGTTTCGCGTTCTCTTCTGGGCTACTTTTCCGGCCCTCGCAGTCAGACCGCCCGAGCTCAGAAGCTCATGTTCCCCCGTTGAAGGCAAATAGATACGAATGGTGACATTCACTCACCAGCGTCGCAACATTCACCACCATACCAACATCCTCTTCCTTTGTTCGTAAGATAAGATGTAGCCCACAGTGTGAACCTGAGTTTGGCTCGAGCTTCACACTGCCCACAGGTTGAGGCCGAGCTATGAGACATGTTAGGAGACTCCGTAAGATCATAGAGTCCAAGGGAAGGTCTGGATGAGCTGCACGTGCCCGGGACAATAGTCCCGTTAGGTATCCAGAGGATCCAGGAGGAGCATGGGTATCCAGAGCTATTGCCGATTGCATTGCGAGACGCGACTAGTGTTCGTAGGATTTGTGGAAGGTCCAGGCTTCGCAATTGAGGTGCATCTGCGAGAAGCTAGTGAATCACGGCTCAGTTACGTTGCAAGTGAGCGCATAGTCATGGTAGAATCTCGTCGGACGCGAAGTGACCAGAAGCAAGAAACAAAACAAGGTGAGCGCAAGGCTTGACGAAGTAGCAGTAAGCGCCTAACGCGCGTTGGCGGCGGATGGCCAGGAATCCAGGTTAGGGTTACATGCGTCATGAAATCGTTAACTTAAACTTCATCTGGTGTCTTTTACCATCATGATTCAATCAGAGGTGTCACTCTCTGGAGTGCAGTCTTTTGAAGAGATACTGTGAACTTATTCCACCCTGGTTTCAACACAGTGGCTGTACTAGGGTCGACATCAATATGGAGGAGAGGATGTACTTGGGATCTCGCGGCAAGGTGTGTCCCCTAGCCCTTTAGGTGTACAGCAATCCACATCAGTATATCTGGACCTCACTTAGAGAATGGACGTAGTAAATTGACTATAATTGCAAGTCTAAAGCTGGCTTCCCTGAGGTGTGACTTAGTGATCATACTCCGTTGATTGTACTCCGGCTACCAATGCCCTAACCAGACCAGACAGTACATACGTGCAAGCTACCGATGTCTCTCTCAGCTCTCCCGGCTGTGCAACTTCTCTTTGCATGACACGGATTGGGTGGTCAATGTCGCGGACGGCGATGAGTTTCGATTGTGATATAGAAGCCGACATCTGACGATATCGTTGCCACAACGCAGAAAGTCGGATTGCGTTCCTCCGATGGGGAGGCCTGCTAAAATACAAGCCAACTGCTCGGCTCAATACCCCTGATCAGGTTAGCTGTTGTCGACAGGCGAAATGACTAATGGCTGGGGCAGGACACAAAGCACTGCATAATATCCGAGTCCACGAAACATACATGTCATTCTTCTGGCATGACGACGACCACAAGCCCTCTGGAGATGGTCTCAAGGTAGGATATACTACACCTGACATGACCGCGATCTCGAAGACACGATCACAAGATATTCAAGACAACTAGAGTATGCAACTTCACTTCCGAAGGGGCCGACGTATCGCCGGGAATGAGCTTGCACCTGAAGCCAATATCATACTACGCATCATGTAAGTAATAGACGCACAACTTCTGCCGACGAAGCTTTGATGGAGTGAAGTGCGATCCTACGAAGGCAAGGCGGGAGCAATGGGACCGCGCGGCATCGAGACGCGTGGAAGAGAAGTAAGATGGCATGGCATGGAACACTTCTGCTCCAGCGAGTCTGCGCCTCAGATCTGGGCAAGCCAAGCAACCGCCAATCCACCGTGGCTCAGTGAGTGGCACCCATGCCGAGCGGCCGTCATGTACTCGTGAGCGAAACAGATGCGATGGAACGCATGTATCCAGACACATGCATCTCGGTCAGAATGCTGCGCCTGCGCAATATAGCCGGTCAGTTTTCCGCAGTCGTAGACGAAATTGATTATCATCTACCACATCAAAACCTTCACAAAGTGTTGCTCAGTTTCGCTCGGTCTTTCACTTCCACCCCTCGCACGGCCACTGACGCTTTCAGATATCGCGGCCGTTCCCGGCAGTTCCGACAACCGTCTCCCCTTCCGTAGCTCGTGCTCAGGTGTGTGCCTTTGCACGTAACAAGGGGAAGGCCTCTGGAGGCAACAATCTGGCCCATTCTGATGCTTGACGACCAGCACAAAGGTGGTGGCATGATGGAGGGTCTTAGAAAGCCATCGGAGTCCCGTTTAGCCACCGGCATCGTGACATCGAAGCACACTCACGGGTCAGATGAGACCACTCCAGCCAAGCTGGGACGTCCAACACAGGTTCGCAAGATATAGTACGAACTCTACGTCGCTGTTTCCATCGCGAACCACACCTTGTGAGCCAGCATGCGTGTGGACGACGTGCACGAACGCTTCCCGTCTTGATCACGCACCTGCGACCCTCGAATTCAGTTCCCGGCCATTGCGGGGGGACTTTCCACCGGCGCCTTCAATTGTAGCTCTTTGGGCGATCTGCTCTCTCGGTGCAGAGTTTGCATCACGACGGTGTAGATAGAGCGACGAGAGACGCGTTTGTCTGGGAAAACGGCCCCCACCGGTTCCGGGAAGAGTTCCCGATGTATCATGCTCGTCCGAGCTACCTTGGGCGTACCGCCCATCTTAGCATTCGAAGTTCGTATTGTGGTACTAGTGGCGTTGTTCTTGTGCCTTGGAGCGGCCGGCACCTGTGTGCCAAGAGCGTTAGTGTACATACCACCACCGAACGTAACGTGAACCCGTCAGAGAGGACATGTGAGCGCCTTTTCAAAGAGGATGGGACTGTGGGTGGTGATGGTTCTAGTGTCCTGGTCGAGACACATCCTCACACGCAGAACTTATTGAGCGGAGCCGGACGTGGGAGACACTTATTCGCAGGCTTCTATTGGCGACCGGTAGTCAGTGAGACATTTCACAGTGGTACCTCCGGACATCACGCAGCATGGGACCGACGTGCACGGGGATTGTGAAAGCCATTGCGCACCATTCCTACGCAAACGACTCGTTAGCTAGAGACATCTGTTTGGTTCGAGACCTTTATATAGAAAAGCCTGCCGCATCGATACTTTCCCTGAAATCTCACCTGGCTTGCATGCGCTCCACGTAGTTTTCGGTTTCATTTTGTAGTGATGCGGCCCGTGAGAGTAATTGGTGCATACATGTCTGCGTAGACAGCCCGAGATACACCAACAGCTGTATGACGTCCTAAATCTTCAAGTCCACTTAGCGATGAGAGTTTTCTTACCCTAGCCGCGGACGGATGGTGATCCATGAGGCTTTGGACGCCGTCGGGTCGTGTGAAGACTGGCCAGGCGTACGAACATGAGGCCGCGTGGAGACACCCTAGAATGACCGGGAATGCGTCGTTGCTGATGCGCCTGACATCCACCAGGCGTCCACAAAGGCTGATAGGATGGCGCGCCGGACATTATCACATCCGGGCTGACCAGACAGTAGCGCCTGACGTGCTCCCCGAAGGCCAAGAGACCGCGCAGATCAGGATCTCGTCTACTGTAGTAGGCGACCGACAAGCAGGAGTCTTGATGAAGCGACACGGCAGAGCACCGGGTCTGCAGAAGTACATATTTGATTTGAGTTTCACGATTACATTTTCGTTGTGCTCGCCTCTTCTGGAGGGTTAGAGTGCTGCGCTGATATGGCAAGACCAGGTCGATGATCCGGAATCGGGGTGCAAGGGGCCGACTCACTACATACATGGTTCTTCCACTCGGCGCGATCACGCAAAATCATATAAATGACCGCACCGCCTTGGAAGATAATCGGATTGCGGAAGCGCTTTCTTTCCCCTCGGGGTGCGGACATCGTAAGAATCGTGCACGAGATGGCAAGAAACTGATGCGGGCCCCGGGCGTTTTCTGACGTTTGTGTCAAGTGAAATTAGCGATGGGGAGCCGCTAGCCGCCGACGACAGTGGAGGTGTCGAGGGTGTGATTCATGCAGGTTTCGACAACAGCTTGCGGCAGGAACATGGTGGTCAGAAGACAACATCGGTGCATTGTCCTGGGGAGAACATACCGCCGGTAGGATCTGAATCTGAGAATGAGATACATCGGGAAGACGGTTTGTCTTGATCAGAGTTGCTGATTGGTCAGTGTATTGATGGAGACAGGTCCCGATGTCGGTCGAGAGACCTCTCAACTTGGGTCCTTCCTGTCCACCTGCGTTCGCGACTAGACCATACATGCCTCTTCTCTTGCTACGTTCAGTCTCCATAACTTCTCAAACCCCGCAAGATGGAGGAAGGCAGACTCGCTCTCTCCAGAGCCCCAGTGTCCGGAATGAGTCGAGAACATACCGACATACAGCATGTCGAACGGCAGCATCACACTGTCGGACGTCGACATGACAATGATTGAGCACATGCGTCCCACGCAGTCGAGCCTCCATGGTGCTCTGGATCAAGATTTGCAACGTATTCCTATTTACGAGCCCGCCTTCGCGTCTCCCCCGCTTCCTCTCCCCTGGCGCTCTTCCCGGCCACGGCCCTGTGACGCGCGCCGTGCGCCGTTCAGCTATATTGCCCTTTCTCCCGCGCTCACATCCTTTCCTTCCCCCTCGTCGACGCTGGTCCCGCGCAGGCGATTCCGGATCGTCCAGCCCCCCTTAACCTCCTTCTCCCGCGTCGTTGCGGTCCCCGTGGCGACCCACTCATCGCTCTCGCATCCCCGACGCGTTCTTCACGGCACTTGATTTAATTTCCAGCGGCTCGGCTCACCTCCGATTCTGCTCTCTGACGACCTCCAAGCACCTGCTACGCCCCACAAGCTATTTATTAATCCTACATGCATGGCAGATCCCGCATTTCCCCTCACGATCGACGACACCTCGCCGCTCGTCCTCTACACCCCCTTCGCGGACACCTTCGGCCCGGAACAGACCGCGCAAGGCTGGAACCCGTACTACACGGGAAGCGGTTTCGCCACGGTCGACTCAGGAGCCGGGTCTCCCGTGGATTCCGCTATCGGCAATGGGACGAGTCTGCACATTACCGCAGCGGACGAGGCGGCACTACAGATCACATGGAACGGTACGTCCACGCTCCTGTCGGTTGTGGTTTGCCTCATGTCCTCCCTACCTTGCGCCCGCCCACCCATGCGGTGTGCAGGCGTGTTTCACCTACGGCGCGGTAGGCTATCCGCCGCCTGCGCTCTGAGAGTGCGAGCGGGCCGACGAGACAGGAGGCAGACCTCCCCGTGAGGCCCGCTCGGCGTTCGCGGGCTGGTATATTGTGATCTATCCCGTCAATCGCGAGCGTGCGCTTCGACGCGCGATGTTCCTTCTACACCGCGATGGCATGCCCTCACCTACTTTTCTTTTCGAATCTCGCGGACGCGCGCCTTCGTCTCGTCCATGTGCGTTCCCAGCGCCTTTACGGCCTTGTCTGGCTGCGGCCGTGATTGCGCATCCGCGACGAATGCAGGGACACATATGTGTGCGACTCCACCGCCGTTCGAAGCTTATCCGTGAGACACTGAGATGTTTCAGGCGTTGGGGCGAGCAGTGGGGAAGGGCGAGGAAGATCTGATGATGGTTGATCGTGGATCCTGGCACTCTGTCATTGCTGGCGGCTTCTTGACAGAACACGGTCGTCGTCCGCTGCGCACTGCCTCGCAGTCGATGTCCCGACGCACACCGGGCTGCGCGCTCGTTGCATCGGGGGCAGTTGTCGCGTGTGGGTCGAGCCTCATGAGTCTGTAAATTGGCTTGTGGTGATGTCAGTCCCAGACGTCGTAGGAGGCTAGAGATCACACGCACACGTCACCTCTTGCGCTGAGGGCGGTCGTAAGATGTCGGCCCTGCGATATTCTCAATGCACATGCATCATCTGCGCGGGCCTGCGGAATCACGTCGGGGAGTGTGTGCCGGCTGCACGTCGCGCAACTGCAGGCGACGAAACGTCTACGGAAGGCCTCATAGATTCCGTCACTTGTTGTCCCTGGTTGCTAGATATCCATGGGAGACGTCGTTGCTAAATTCACTTCCACTCCTACTTGTTAGGCACAAACATCACGCTCTACGGAACACTGGTACCAGCATCATCGGACGACCTACCAGAAGCCACGTATACCGTCAATCTAGATGGCATTACTACGACCAACTTTCTCTCCTCATTGCCCAAGCCTGCGACAGTCCTCGACGCAGACACCGATGTCCTCGTGCAATTCAACAGTCTCCAGGACGGCCCGCATACCCTCCAGTTGACGTTTCACAATCCCGATGGGACTGCAAGCGGCGGAAATGCCACGAGTGGGCCCTTTATTGCCTTCGACCGCGCTGTCGTAGAAGTAGGTGCCGGCATGCCAAAGTAAGTATCGGACCTATTTGTGTCATCTTGCCTTACTTCCTTCTACGCGAGGGCGGCCGAGTTTGTGTCTTCGTCAGGATCGTCCCACTCAAACGCCTCCCGACGCTCTTTGCGTCGGATTCCACTCTATTCACGCCCAGACTTGCTTCAATGCTTTGTTGCATAGTTACGTCCTCTACAGCCTCAGCTTCCCGTGCGGCTTTCCATCTTCTTTACTATTTCTGCCGGCTTCGAGTCCCGTGCGTCACCTCGCGCGTTTCGTGTTTCTCCATGGCTTCTCAGCCTCCCTTACTTTGTACGCGTACTTACTCCGCTTCTCCCTGGCCAGCCCGACACAGAGCTCTTCCCTGTCGAGTACGGCCGCCCCGTCGCCGACGGCTTCTGCATCAGCCGTCACCGCCCCCCTTCCGGACAGCGCGACTGCGTATCGCGGCCAGTGGGACTTCGACACGAACATGCTTCCCGGATCGAGTGCGTCATTCCATACCAGCACGAACATCGGGGATAAGGCGACGTTGATGTTCAACGGTGCGTCATCCTCCACGGTCTCATTAGTCTGAAACTTTGTCCTGGCCTTCGGGGTACTGCATAGTGGCTTACTGTGTGATACGCGGGCACGCGGGCGTGGTGACGAGGAATATATGCCCTGCTTTCCACCAGGGCGGGATAGGACAAACCCTCGGCGGCAAGGTCGGTGATGGCGACCGTGGAGTTCTTGTGATGGGGGCGCCGTCGTCCGAGGCGGGGAGGTGTCTCGGCGCCTGTTCCCACGTCAGTATTTGTAGGATTACCGCATTTGTCGCGCATCGAGGCCTGCCTCCGAGCGTGCTTCGCCCAGGACGCGTCTCCGGGAGATGCGCTGAGATCCATATATCCCCGTCCTCGGCAGCGTCCCTCGTCAGGCTTCCCCACTGTCCTTTCTCCTGGTTTCTCCTCCGCTTCATCTTCACAGCTTATCCTACTTGCCCGCCTGCGTGCTAACTCCTCCTAATCCTCCCCCTCAGGCTCCGCCGTTGGGCTTACGGGCCTCACCACCCCCGACTCTGGGGCGTACAACGTCTCGCTTGATAGCGCAGAGCCCGTAACATTGTCTGGGCGCGCGTCATTCACGTCCTCGGAGCCCACGCTTTTGTTCTTTCGCACAGGCCTCGATCCATCTGTCATGCACTCCATCGAGGTTGTCAACGCAGGTCCCTCGGGTGCGGGGCAGGGCGCGGGCTCGCGCCTCGTCCTCGGCGCGGTCAATGTCACGACGATCCAGCCACCGTATGTCCTCTCGCGAGCTTGGCATGTCACGTTGGAATGCTTACTGTTTGATCCGTCCATGCTGTCATGTTTCTCGCTCATTGTTTCCATTCTACGTCTGCGCCCACAATCCTGTTGAACCCCCGACGTGCCATTCCGTGACTTCCGGGGCGCACACGTGCCGTCATTTGCATTAATCGCACCGCTGATGCCGTATAGTGCGACGTCTGTCGGGACGGCCAAAGGGTCAGGCTTGCCTCGAGGGGACGTCGCTGCTATAGCCATCGGGGTGACGCTCGCGGTCGCCGCGCTAGCCGTTGTCCTGTTCTTTTTCATCCGGCGGCGGCGGCGTCTGAGTCGCCGCAAGCGGCAGATGCTCGTCAACCCCGAGATCAGCCGCGCTCACAACCTGGCGTTCCTATTTTCGCACAGACGACATAGCAAGCGCGGCGAGCGCGACCCGCAGAGGGCGCTCGGAGGCAGCTACGAGGGTGGGGTGTTGGACATCCGCAGCCCGATCCCCGAGGAGAAGGCGGACGAGTCGGACGACTCCGAGGATGGGCATGGCGAGGTCGACGGGCAGCGGCTCTCTGCGGCCGAGAAGGGGAAGCAGCGCGCGACGCGGCAGAGCAACGCGTCGAAGAACTCGGATGGGAGCTACTCCATCGAGCTTCCTGATCTGACGATCGCCCAGGTGCCGCGGGGATACCTTCCTACCTCTGTGGTGCCCTCGACGCCTTCTCCGCCCAGGACGGTGTCGTCGCCGACTTCGCCGCGCAGTCCTACCCGCCCGAGAGGGCCGCGTGAGCTCCCGGGGCGCGAGTCTACAACGCGGGGTATCCTCCTGAGTAGCATGCCTCCTCTCCCGCGAGTAGAGGTCACCGACGAGGGTCAGCTGGTATCACCCGTCCCGTCGTATCTCCCGGAGGCGCACATCTCTCCGCTGCGGGTCGAGTTCGCGAGCAACGTGCAGGCGCGACCGGAAGGTCGAACAGAACGCACTATCAGCACCGGCGCAATCTCCCTGCCACAGTCGCTCAAACAGGCGTTGGCTCAGCAACAGCAACAGCAACAGCAACAGCAACAGCAGCAACAGGCGACGGTCAGTCAAACGTCGGAGCCCCCGTCTCCTGCACGTTCGAATCTGGTGTACTCCTTCCTGGATTTCGCCTCAACGGCGAGTTCGCTGTCACGCTCTCAAAGCAAGTCTACGTCCAACTCGACAGGGAAGTCTCGAAGCTCTTCGCAGTCGAAGAGGAAGTCGGACAGCGAGCATTCCAAGGGGAACACTGCCAGCGAGCATTCGCAAGTCGTGAACTGGGCCACACTCCCTCCCAACCGCCGCATATCCCTTGGGCTATCCATGACAGTCGGTGGTGCGACAGCGTCACGACCATCCTTGATGACGAATGTGTCGCTGCACCCCGTGCCGTTGTCCCAATCCGCACCGGCACTCTCCGTGTCTACCGAACACGCGCCCCCGTCCCCTAACACCCCGCAGATCGAAGGCCCAGACCAGGACTTCCCCTACGACGCGAACCAGCTTCCTTCCCCAACCGACTCCGTACCTTACACCGTTTCGGACATCCACTTCCGCCACTCGACGCATTCGTCAATCTCCATGCCCGCGGAGTCTCGCCGTCAGTCTGGCTACCGCTTGAGCGGTTCTCACCGACCGCCACATCCCCCACTACCCAGCGCTGGGCCTGCATCACCCACCCGCCCCACCCACCAGCGAGGAGGATCCCCCTCGGGTTCGCAGAGCGTGCCGCCGCTCATCGTGCAGCGGATCCTCGGACGGACTCCGAGCTCGAATCCCGCGTCACCACCATTCACTAGCCCGACAACGCCGCAATTTGCGAGCGTCGCGGGTACGACTGCGGCCACGCGTGCGACTGGCAGCTCTAGCCCCACGCAACTCCGCGGGTCGGGCTCGGGGACAGGACCGTCTTCGTCCACCACCAATGTGCAGAGTTCGCCTGCGCCCGCCCCGACACCCGGATCTGCGACAACTGTGTTTGGGTTCCAGTTGGGCCGCCGTAGCGAGCGGTCATAGCGCTGTCCTCTCCGTCCCTCTCCTCACTCTTCAACCACCTCTGCGCGCTTGCGCATCGTGTACATACCCATCCACTCTCGTTACGACCTTGACACCTCGCCCTGCACAGCCTGGCGTGGATGTCACCCTGCTTGCTTCGAGTCCAGTGCACAATGGAGTTGTTTACTGCGCCATTAACTTATCGTGACGTCCCTAATCGGCTCGCGTTCCTCCTTCCCCCGTACATGGTTTGTTTTGCAGGCGGTGTCGGGCGGTGATGGTTGGTTTGCTTGCTCGGCGCCGACTACCTGTGTGCGTATCCCCCTCTGCATGTCTTCTACTGTTGCATCACCGTCACATGGACTTGTAGAGTGCTCTTATATACCACCTCCACCTCGCCCCCATCCAGCTGCGTGTTTACTCACATCCTCTCTCAGACACGCCTCGCTTGTATCCGCTGCCCGCACACGTACCTCTCGCAAATATCTATAGTACCCTCCGTTTACCTCCCTGGTATTGGTCAGGATCTTCCCATCCGTCTCTATCTTCTGTCAACATTTCGTTTTATCTTCAACTTCAATGTACATGTAGCAACCCTTCATCACCAGCAGGCTCCTCTTCCACTTCACTTCGTCATATTCTTCATTGCAATTTACATTCTGCTCACCAATGGCATTGCATGTCTTGCGTATCTCGCATCTGTACATGTACATCCAAGGCACGCTCATTTGCGCCTGTTCCACCATCCTGTCCCGCCCCATCGTTTCCATCGACGTTTGGCAATCGATTGATCGCCTGCTCAGTCCATCGCAGCGGGACAAGTCAGGCACCGAGAACAAGTCGAGTGTTTCGGGGTGTGGAGTATGCGCTGCGCTTCCGACTACCGTACCTTACAGTTTGCTGCCCTGAGATGCTTATTCCCGTCCGGCCAGACGGAGCCTTGTGATACATTGTGTCGGGAGAAATCGAGATTCCTGTTCTTCTAGCGTACCCCGTACCGCGGGGGTCTGACTTCGTTCTAGGAGACCTCGGGTGCGCGTGCCTGTCTGCTTGTTCAGCTCGACTTCGTGCTGTGCGTCATCTGATGTTCTCAACATATATCGGGAGACTTGGCCCCTGCGGTTCGATTGTTTACAACTACTCAATGAAGTCTTGTTCACAACCATGAGCTCCGCACGTACACTCTATTTTGTATCAGATCCGCATGCAGCTTACTGGCAGCGCTTTGTGCATTTGCCCCGTTGGTTCCGAAGCGCATGTCAAATGTAATGGGGCTGAATGATATCAGTCGTCGATCTCGTCTATGAGCTCACTTGACCACACACTCGAATCCGCATCCAGGGTGGCGAGTACAAGTGATCAACGGGCTTCAATGGGGCTGGGGGCGGACCGGCCAACTCCCGTCTACATCTGTATCAGGGCCGACGATAGGTATGGGATCAAGCAGCCAATCGCTGGATCATCAGGGTACCGCGGACACTAGACAGGCAAAGCCAACGACGGCATGATTGATAGTGGATGACTTTCCATAAGCTATCTACGGCTCTACGGACGTCCGTAAATCTCTAAACAGACCGATTTGGGCAAGGGGCAGTGTTGCCGACACCAGATCTGAACTCCGCTGATGAAATTTAGGATACGGACGTCAAAATCTAGGAGGGGGGTCCGACCCCCCTTTCTAAATCTCTAACAGGCCGTAGACAGTCCGTAGACCTCGGCATACGGTGCCGTGACCACGAGAAAGGAAGGAGCCATCATGACAAAGCGAACTGCATGCCAAATACAGACATGACATAAGCCACTCCAGTCACGTGCTGATGATGAGCAGAACATGCCTGTTTAGCGCCCAAGATCCAGAGACTGTTTCAAACCCCGCCTAGAAATCTACGGACGTCCGTAGAGCCGTAAATCCTTATGGAAAGTCGTCCAGTTGCGATCGGTCAGATGGCTTGCGGGGGGGGGGAAGCTAACTGATTTGTCTAGAGATGAGGCATCACGAACTCGCAGTCCACCACCCTCTTGAATTTCTAGACAACACGCAAGAAGGCTGCTGCAGTTGTCTTATTGATATTACAATCGTCGGAGCGCCTAGGCATACAGCTTGCGCAGCCACAAGTTCTTGGAGAGCCAGACCGCAGGAGGGAGACATAGAGAAATCTCAAAGGGCGCAATGTTGAGATGACACCTGCGCAAGAAACGAGCACAAGATACTTAGCGGTATACAGATGAAGACATCGCTAATAATTGTCCTATAGTCCCTGCTGAGGAAATCAAGATCAACAAGGCTGTACAACAGGAAACAGCGATTCATGCGTAGCACGCCATGCTCATAGCTCGTGATAATGCACCTACAGATACAATGCGTATACAGTATACAGATAGATCGCTTCTTGGCGCCACCATCGTGGGTTGACATTGATCCCGGAGACTCAGCCGTTCAGTAGTAGGCTTCTGCACCCGCATACGACTTGGTTGGACCGCTGCTGGGCGTAGCAGGAGATGCCGGTGAGCCTTCTCCATTGCTTTGAGCTTCTAGCAGCTCAAGCTCTTCTGCCTGACGACGTATGTACTCAACAGATCCAGGTCCGAAGGCAGGCGTGGGTTTCGTGTAGGGTTTGACGACAACAGCTAGCAGTCCTGCTGGAATCATCGCTTGCAGGTCTGACTGGGGTGGGACGGGTTGGAACGAAATCTACACACCATTGTGTCAGTCTCTACTGCAGAGCAGCGAGAGAAGACAGTCTGCACTTACGGAATCGTTCATCTTTTTGTATCCTACCAAGAATGTGCCGGTGCTCTCAAGCTCCTCCTGGACACGCGCCTTCCTTCTCTCTCGGATCTCCTTCTCCCGTTCGCCGCTGATCATTCCTCCGGAGGAATGCCCGCTCTTCAGTTCCTCCAGCTCCCTTTTCGCCCAGGAAAGGAAGCCGACTGCGATCCCGCCCTTGCTTGTGCCCCCGTGCTCACCCGCGTCGACGCCTAACCACTTGCGCGCCAGCGCAGCGTGAAACGCGATTTCGTCCGCGAGGTATCGCCGGAGCTCCGGCGCGACCTCTTCCCCGGTCTCATCGTCCGCATTGGCGTTCTTGTCCTTGTCCTTGTCGCGTCCGAGTGACATCTTCAACTTTGACTTCGAGGACGACTTGGACGCCCCAGGCGTCTTCACGAGCGCGCGAGCGGACGAGTAGAGTGACGCGCACTCGAGGTGGAGCTTCGCAACGAGCGCGGGCGAAGGGTGGGACTTGGGCAGCGGCGGCCCGGGTGTGAGCGTGCTCTCGAATGCGGCTTTAGAGAGCAGTTTGCGGATCGCGAGGGTCTGCGCGTCTGCCAGTGCCATCCTGCCATAACCAGCCATTTGTCAATGTTCATGATCAAAGCATGAGATGCATGGACGTGGAAGTCTGGACGCACTTGCTGAGGCCGATGACGACTTCCCTGCTGATGTCGGGCGGGCGCGGACAGCTCATCCCGAGCGACGTCACCCGCGCCCGCTCTCTGTCCCACTCTGCTATGCACTCTTTGCCGACGTACTCGTACACACCTGCCGCTTTGCATAGCAAAGTCACCGCGAACGCGAGGCGCTCGTCTTTGGCCTTCCGTTCGTTGTCGGAGATAGCGCGCTCGGTCTCATAGCGGCCTAGAGAGTGGACGACTGCGCGCGCGAGATTGGAGATGGAGAACGCGTAAGTGAGGAGAGCGAAGATAAGCTCTGTGGAAAAAGTAGGTAGGGATAAACGCGGGGAGTTGTGGAAGAGGGTTGAAGATAGGGTGGTACGCCAGCTGAAGACTAGCACGGTGTTATGAGAATCAGGACGAGATGAGATGAGGAGACGTACTTGGCTCAGCTTTTAGCGAAATCTCTCCGCTGTTGATACAGCTCAGCAGACCGTATAGTTTAGGTATGTATTCGTCTAGGACCTGCAATCTAAGATGAGCTCGACCAATCCTCCGGCCTGCTTCATCAGGCACTGTTCCTAGTACACAACCTCCGCACCTTCGCGAAGTACATGAAGATAGACACAAACATTCAGGACGCATCGCCCGACTAGGCTTCGCGCATTGTCAAGCAACTATACGCACCTTTACCAGTTTGAGGTAGTCCTTTTCACTATTGTCCGTGCGTTTACTCTCCTTGAGAGTAGCACGCAGATTGGCACGGGCTTCCGTAGTATCTGCGATGTCCGCGGTGTATGTCGCTGTAGAGTCGAGGCATGCGTCTGCGAACGATATCGCACCAGTGGTAGGGAGCTCATAAAGATAGCTGGTCATTCTGATGTTGTGGTAGTGGGAAGAGAGTTACAGCCTCTACGGGAACTTTGTGATGCCAATCATTCGGCCATAAGTGCAATGATGCTCCAGTATGCTTATGTAAGGGTTGCCCTCCCGCAAACCGCTATTGCTCCTTGTCTTTTCGTCTTCTCCTCCGTCTATTAAATTCTCTCTGGTGGTTCTTCCCATGCTCCGCTTCTGCTCTCTGTCACCGATTCGGAATATAGCTGCTATCAGTCGGGTATGTCTTATATCTTGGTTGCATCCAGTATCTTAAGAGCTCAGCGGCACATTTGCCATTTGTGTTTCTGTTCCTACCAAGAACAAACCTCGAGTAGTGTCCTCTGATATGGTTGAAGTCTACTCTGTCTGGACACTAGCACGACATTTTATGGATACATCGCTTGTATGGCAGGTACACGGAGTGTTTCCTGGTTGCTTTATGTATCGTGAACTCCATTAGTACCCCTTCTCGATTGTGGTGCATAGGGACTTACAACCACGCGCCAGACCTTTTCGTGCAATCTCGACGCTTGGAATGACCCACCCCTTCGATATCTGTCTGAATTATCATCGTTCGCGTTCAATGCCCCTCGTCTAGATTGCTCAGGGCCTGTTCGGCAAAGAGTTGGAGTTAGAGTTACCGGCATTTCATGCCCATATATAGTAATAATATCTCGGTTTCCAATGTCCGGGAAACTCGAGTTACTCGGGCGAGTGCATGCGTTCGGATGCCTCGTAACTCTGGGCGGCTGTTATCAGGTCGCGTCGTAACTCCTCTCGAGCCTCCATCACCGAAGGCCGCCAGCATGGACGAGTTCCTCTTCTAGCCTCCGAAACACAGCAGCTGGGGTTCCTAGACTGTCTTTCATCCGGTTGCGATGGTCATTGAGGAGGTCCTGGACCCACTGCCGACCAGATAGGAAAGATGTGTGGTAAGGCTCTGGATTGAGGTGATTCCAGGATTCTTCGATTGCAGTGATAGCGGTGGCAACAGTGACAATGACAGTATGACACTATATAAGGGTCACCCTTGAATGTGTATAAATGGGATTAACAAACAAACAAACAGTACACCACTATTGTAGCCGTCTACGGCGCTCG